AGATCCAAAAGCGATTTTGCAGATATTAGATTGCGAGAGATGTTTTTTGTCACAGCAAAATCAATTAAATCGGTAGTTTTCTAGGATCTGTAGGCCAGTATGTGGGCTACCTGGTGAAACGTAGTCCAGTTTGTTGCATGTTTTAATGAGTGCATTATATAGTTGCCTTCCTTTGGGGGTCAGGCGGGATCCCCAGTGCGGTGCTTGGCGTTGTAATCTCCTGCTGCTATGAATCGCTCTCCAAGAGAATTGTGAAGTCCATGAATTGGTCTTCGGAGACTGTAAGGGGTGGGCGTAGACAGCGGCAATGGCAGGTTGCAGTTGCCCAACTGTAATTTTATCGATGTAGCTTGCAGATAATTTTTAGCAAACCGTTGGTGAAAGTGGTGTTTGCGCGGTCTCTTATTAAGATTCCAGTGCCGCCATGCGCTTTACCATCTGGATGATCTGTGCCTAGACGTGTATCCCCGTATTTGAAGTTATATTTGCTGGTGAGATGCGTTTCTGCCAGCAACATAACGTCGATGTGGTTTTCGTTCAGAAATTGAGTTATTTGGTTTATGCCGTGAAACACCGTTGGCGTTCCACAGAGTTATTCGAAGGCTAGGCTGGTTTATTTGGACGCTGAGCTGCAAGCATTTGTAGTAAGATATTTTGGTTTTGCATAAGGGTTTGCATAGTGGTTTTCTGAAGGACATAAATTCCATCATATTTTGTTGAAAGTAATCATCATAGATTCCATGTTACTTTGTGGCTGTCCATGGCCTGCTGGATGTTATCAACTTTCGGCTCTATGTGAGCTGTGCCTGATCTTAGGCACTGGCGTAAGAAATTCCGTTGGTGGTATTGAAGGGCCAAATGATGATCTGGCTGCTTTTGCGAAGAAAACTTCCGGTGTCGTTTGTGATCTCATGTAAGTGTTTTGTGTGTTCAGGGAGCGTGCCGTTGTTGCTCGTTGCATCCGACTTTTCATCGCCTTGTAGACTGGACAGCCTCTGTAGTTAGCTGTGTGGTTTCCTTGGCAGTTTCACACTTTTTAGTGGAGAGTCTTCCTTGTTGGCAGGGCAGGATTCGGAGCCGTGGCGTTTCCAAGCTACACATACTGACCTGAGGGTGCAGTAGCCCTGGTATGACCGTATTCCTGGCAGTTTGTGCATTGACTGGTCCGGTCCGTTTGTGGGCTCTTCCACTGTGATCCTACGGAAGAGCCGCGAAGGTCTGCAACTTGTAGATCGGGTGCACTGCGTTTTTTCAAAGTTCTGCTGTCTGGCTCCAGCTCGACCTTGAAGAGTGGTTGCGGTCTTGTTTTGTTCATAATGTTTATAACATTTTTGCGCAAAACCGTTTTCTTTAAGGCCTCTGTAATTTCGCGGGGTCACATCGGGTTCTATTCCTTAAGCACAACTTGCAAACCTTTGCAACTTTTCAGCTGGTACTGTAGTAATTCTTTTTGGCATCGTTTAGTACTTCGACACTGCTCGGAAATCGTCTTCGGTTTTGGTTTGGAGTTTAGTTTCGCTTATATTCCTTTCATAAGCGGAATAACATGAAAGTTATCTTTTCCGACAAGCTCAACTATTTTGTTGACTAGGGCATTCGATCTTCTCCCGAATAAAAATAGGTGGGGCTTTAGTTTCCTTGGGGCTAATTGTTCGACTCTGTTTCGGCTCCGCCAGAATGGAAAATCTGTTTTCTCTAATGGCCCGATTTAAGGGCCTTTGTTGAACGATTTATTTTGGGTTTGCTCGATTTTTGGTTTATAAACTAACAAAAATTGTTTATGTTAAGAAAATTACACTTACCAAATTTTTTATTTAAAAGTTTATTTACAAAAAAGGAAGTTTTTTATTGAATTTTTGAATTACAAATATTAAAGGCGAATGTAAGCTACTATAACCTGTAAATATAGGGGATGCCTTAAAGACAAATACCTAAAAACCTCTAATAAATAAATAACTATATTTTACTTCAGCTTTTTAAGTAAAAACCCAGTCAGCTCTACGAACTCCACTATTCCCATCCTTTAACCCTTTACTGCCTAGGTGAATGTGCTGCATACTTCTAGGCGTGGGCAACATTCTGCTGTGTGTGTGAGTGCGTGCGTGTGATGGCAAGTGCGTGTTGGTGTGAGTGCAGTTATGTAATTATGGTAATTAAAAACGCGCGGCAAACGCCGTTTGTCTTGTCATCGTATTTCATAGTTAAGCACCTTTTGGCTTTTCGTATTTGCACAAAGCCAAAGACAGAACTTGCTCATTTACATGAATAATATTACTAACACGCTCGCAGGCATTCTTTCTCCTCCACAGAATTATGATTATTTCGTTATAAACTGTGCGTTTGCTTTGTTTCGCTTTTACCAACCCTCCAACTCTTATCAATTAACAATGCTAATGAGGGCCGAACAGCCCGGGAAATTGTGCGAAATAGCGAACAATCCAACAGCAGAAGGTGTTGAATGTGAAATATCCGCTTAAATCTGGCCATTGGGATTACGGTGGTGCTCTTTAACGCAAATCAAAATTATTCAAAAGGCAAAAAGCAGACGCTACGGGGAAAAAAACGTGTGTATTAATTATTTTCAGCTGAATATTTAATGTTAAATGGGTTTAATGGCAATAAATAAAGTTAAAGCAATTAACATATTCATTTTACGGTTTATTGAGTCTCAATAAGGACGAACCACATAATAAAGTTGTTATAGAATAATGATAAAAAATCTACCCTGTTTCAATGAGGCATTTAAATCTAAAATGTGAACATTTACTTACCCATAGAAACCTATACAATGAATATTAAAACTATTCAAATTCACTCTTTTTTTTTGGTGACTCAGTTTGATGCATTTTGCTTTCATCAGCAGAGTGATATAATAGCATAATAAAATGCCGCTGCTAACAACAATATATTGCATAATAAATTCGCAAAAAAATAATAAATATGGGGAGATGCGAAATATAGCAAACAATATTGAATAATTCCATAAGCCTTCCTACTTCCCGCTTCGCAGTTTTGATTTATATAATATGTAACAAAAATATCCAAATTAAACGTAAATAATAAAACAAATAAATACCCTGATGTCACAATAAACAATCATAGAACCAAGCCGTAATGAATATTTCAGCAAAAACTAAACAGATTTAGCCGCATTGAATTCGTTTTATTGAATCAACTTTTTACAAATTGGAATAAAACTAAATGCTTTGAATATTTACAATGAGCTTTTCATTCGCTGAATTTCCATTTGTATGCACTCTGTTCTATTATATTCGTGAAAAAAAGAGATTACCCTTTGCTGCCTAAAGTACATATAACAGGTATCATTTTACTCCCACAACGCCTATGGCTTTTGGCCAGACGCATAAACCACAATTTGTGGCTAATGCTGGCGCCACAAACATCGATACCGACACCTCTGAAATCGAAAAGCTTTCCCTTTTTTTTAGAGGTTTGCTCAAACGGTAGCGGTGTGGGTACAAAGCAAAAACAACATCCGATTGACAGAGCTGCCCAACATAAGTATTCACCTTTCACACGATTCCAGGTGAGCATGCGAATGAGCTCATTAAAAGCGGACTCTTCTTGGCCAAAAAGAATCGGACCGAAAGCGAAAACAAGTCCGAAACGAAAGCCCAAATCGAATATGCAAAGTGCGGAAAAGGGGGCTCGAGATGCGCTGCAATTAATCAGTCACGAATCTCAATCGAGTTCCAGCGAAATCGGCGACAACTGTTTTGATTTACCAAACAATATAAAGTTTTGTAATTATTTGCGCTTCACTTGGGTGTTTATTTGTTTACTTTCCGTTACCTTTTTGGCCATAATTTCACATTTAAAGCGATTAAATTTCGCTTTTGGCCTTGTATCAGCCCTCGTCTCGTTATGTTGCTTCAATTACCGCTGCTTATTTATTTATCTCTGTTTCTGCATCACGTTGTAATTGATTTTCAACTCTGGGGCCACGGTGCGTATGATTGATTTGCCAGCAATCAAACTGAAGAACCCTCGACAATATGTATTTAACTAGAAATTTCTATTATTATTGTTAACCTCAACTGCAAACATACAAAAGGCATCGGATAAACACTTAAAAAACCATCCAGCAAGTGTGCAAAACTCTTTACTAAACCCAAGGCTGCGCAAATATTTATTCGCTAATTAAGCATTTCTACTTGTTTAAATTTATTTCTGCCGTTTATGTGATTTTTTCCATTTACCTAGCTTCCCATTCAGCGGCTATAATAATAAATTTGACATCACTGGGGGCAAGAGCATAAAATTACCAGTAGATAAAACGAAATGTAAGCAACTGGAAATTAGTTTTGAGCTCATCAAACACAGGTGATTGATCTGTTCGTGTGTTGATAACATTGACCCTATCGACACTCCGACCTAGTGATCAATTAATAGCACAAACACCGAATAAACCGCCCCTTAAACCATCTTTATATGTTAACCCATTACCGATAAGTGGGTAGGAAATTAATCTAATGGAGTATACTTTTTGACTTACGAGGTCAAATGATTTTATTACACCATTGTTAAGCTAAGTTATTTGTTTTGTTACAAAAATGTATTTTTAGAAAATACCTTAACTTAAAGATCATTATTAAATTGCTAATTAAGATATTTTTCTGGTAATAAGTTTTTTGTTATTTATTTTTCATTCTATACCCTATTAAATATAAATATTAAAATAAATAAAAACCCAAGATATATGATAAGGCAGGCAATGATCTCTTTTAACTTTGTTATGTTTATTTTAGAAAGAAAATGAGAATTACTAGTAAATAAATATTTACATTTTTTTAATATTTTTATTGGTTTGCGAGATGTTTCTCTGGTAGAAAATGGGTGTTAACGGAGCCACCTGGCGTTGTTTGCAATTTGTTGACAGCTTCGAAGCTGCGCTGCTGCGGCTGCTCTTTCTTCATCCAGCTCGGGCCTTCTTTTTTTTGTATGTTCAGTTTTTATTTTTTTTTACTTGAGCTTCAGTTTCGGCTTCTGCCGGTGGCTTCGTCGGGCGGTAAATGAAGTTAACTTGGCCTTGTCGCACGCCAGTCTGCTTCTGACATTCGCGCGTCGCGCTCGATCGCCGGTTTTATCGTCTGTGATATTACGTTTTTATTGGCCAAAAAGGGCAAGAGTGCCGAAAAGCGAACCAAAGCCGCTTAGGTTCAAAAATAAATATAAATTCGATTTTAGTCGAGCGAACTTGAGCTGGGAATTACAAAACGCAATGAAAACGGTAATTCAAAGACAAGAACCAAGTCACTTTGCCCGCTAATGGCCAAATATCACACTGTGTTTTGACTGGAACCAATTCTGGTTGGTCACAAAGCTCAATTAATTTGCCGAGTTTTGTAGATCAATTAGATATGCAAATAGGCGTGATAAAATCAATCTGTCAATGTTATAAATCATTTACAATCGATGCAAAAAAAGTGTGTTAAGATCTGTGTTAAACAGGATTTGGTTATAGCTTCATAATTTTCTCATCTATCTTATCTTTGATCAGGCTTGTCCATTATTAAATCAGTGTGATAAATGAGCCTTAAAAGTCAAACAGCATCGTTATAATATTAAATTTCATAACTGTATTAATTGGATTCTGTTTCAGTCGTAAAAGTTTATTTTTGTACACATATTTTTGCCAAATTGCAAATGTTTCACAAATTTGAACAAGTATCAGAAAAACATTTAATTTATGTAATTTAATAATTGCTTTGCACAGAAGTATGCCGGCTCATGATTTATTTGATTTATTAATGGATTTTCTTAAAATCCTCTAAATTAGAACAATAAATCCTTTCCGAAAAATACCGCACAAACATATAAATCTTAACTAATTGCCGAGAACATGTTTGTTTAATACGTAAAGTCACTTTTCAAATTGGCTTCAATTTTGTAGAGCAACATTTAGAACATGGTTAATTTAAAAAAAATATCATATTTTATCTAAAATCATAAGAACTTTTTTTAAAATTATGTGGAATAAGTTTATACTTACTTAGAAAGAATATAAAGTTACTTGAATTGTTATATTTTTTTATTCTAGATAAACCACTTAATTGGTGTGTTACTCCTAGTGGGAGCTTACCTTTCCAGCACATCCTGGGCAGCTCCTGCCCTCCACCTTAGTGATCTGGAGCCGGATGAACTGGAGGCCTATCCCACGTCGCCCAGCCAGGTGCTGCCCATTCAACCTGTGCTGATTTATCCCCAGCCACGTGAGAATCTCTACCAGGCGAGAACTCTAGGGGGTCGAAATGACGAACAGGATATCATATTCGTGAAGCTGCTGCAGGATAAGTCCAGTGGCTATCGCCCCAAACAGCAGCGCCTTGTCATGGAGAAGACGAAACCCTCTCAGAGAAAGAACATCGGTCTGAAAGACATTTTCTACGTGAAGGCCCTCACCAACGGACGATTTAGCCACGAACGACTGAAGGTTTACCGAGTTCCCGAGTTCTACGCCATCAGTGTTTTTAGCAACGGAGATAAATAAGGGGAGACGGCTTAACGATAAAAAGGAGTAATATAAGTTATTTTTAAGACGCTATAAATAAATACCTCAGGAGTGCCGAAGTGCAGCGTTTTTTTGTTCCGTTCTGAACTCTTATCGCGGCGCCACTTTGCGTTCGCGGATTTACACGCAATTTCAATTACTCATAAGCCGGGTTCAGGCTCGCTGACTGATGGGTGTCAGCATCGTCTTGGCCAACAGCCCCAACATTGGTATCAACATTGGCAGCTACACGAACTTGTAGGGGCCCCTTCTTGTGCCGTCGGAACCACGTCAAGTGGCAATTAATAACTGTCAGTCGATTGGCGGCTGTGGCTCCGGCTCCACCAACATTCTACCTCCCAATCCCCACACCCGACAACAAAGAACTAATCCCTTTTGTCACTGGGCGTCACAGACTGCGGTCCAAAGCATTACGTCAAAATCAAAGAAAGCAACAAAAGCACAACAAAAAAAATAAATGGAAATGGAAAGGCTTTCCATTGAAAGCCGAATTGTGAATACGCTTAAGGCTGAAGTATTTTATCGCATAATGGACTTTGTTGCGGGATTGCCAAAATGGAATTGGAGCATATAATAACAAGATCTTACAAGAACGTTGATTCATATCTGAATACCTTAATAATGAACTTTAAAAGCCTTCATGAACCAATACTAAGCTCAATCAGTTATAGTTACAACTTGTTATGCTATTACAACTCACAAACTAAAAAATTTAAGTTTCTCTCAAGCTTTTAACTTCATGGTAAAACTTTTAAATTGTTTTTAAATCTAAAAAGGAGTATCTAATAATAAATGGGTTTGTAGTTAAAGATGATAGCATTCTTTTGTTTCAAATATACAATTTTACAAAGGTGTAACTAAATCCATATACCCCAAAAAAAAACTGGTTGTGAGCAAAATAACTTATTTCAAATAAGCAAATAAATCACATTCCTTTGGGAGCTCTTGAACCCGTGTAGACTTTCGCCCAAAACGCTTGTGGCACGTCCGCGTTTTTAAAAATGCACGGCGGGCATTCGCTCCAGTTTGGGAATAATAGAAAACGCCAGACAAAACACCTAATTGAGTTGTCACAATTATGGTAATTTAATAATTAAGTGGTAACATTTATCTTAGGGCGATTAAGTGGTCTGGTCAGCAAACTGCAGATGATTAGTTGACCATCAGACGTGGCGCAATGTTCATGGACATGAGCTCCTGGAAGAGCAGCTTGGCCGCATACGGGAGACGCACCTGGGAAATCTGCGTCTTGTTCTTGCAGCCCTTGCACTCGAACGTGTTATTGCGCAGATTGGCGATGGCGATTATGCCACAGAAGTTGCAAATGTGCACTCGGTACGGATCGGAGACCTCGAATAGACGCTCTCGCAGGAACTGAGCGGCGCCATGGGAAATCTGACAATCACGCTCCATCTCACCAAAACGCAAGCCACCATCACGGGCTCGACCCTCCATAGGCTGTCGCACTAGGATCTGGACAGGACCACGTGCTCGCGAATGGATTTTGTCGTCCACCATGTGCTTGAGACGCTGATAGTAGGTGGGTCCCAAGAAGACCTACAAATAGATGGATTGGTTTTGATTAAGTTTTGGACAAAAATCAAAAAAATTGAATAACATGAATAGAGAATTCAATATACCTGAGCATTAATCTTGCGCCCAGTATGTCCGTTGTACATTACTTCGTTGCCTCGCAAATGATAACCGTACTCCTGAAGGAAAGTGGAAATCTTCTGCACGTTGACGGCATCGTTGAAGGGTGTGGCATCGCCGATCTCGCCCTTGTTGGATCCCAATTTGCCCTGCAGGCACTCGATCAAATGACCAATTGTCATACGAGAAGGGATAGCGTGGGGATTAATGATGATATCCGGGGCCAAGCCCTCGCAAGTGAAGGCCATATCCTCTTGACGATACTGAATACCGCATGTTCCCTTTTGACCGTGACGGGAGGCGAACTTATCGCCGATCTGGGGGATACGCACAGAGCGCACTCGAATCTTGCAAAACTTGTAGCCCTCGCTGTTGAGCGTCAGCATCACCTGGTCCACAATACCCGTCTCAGAGTTTCGCAGGAAAGTGGAGGCATCTCGCTTGGAAAAGCGCTTCGTGTTGCTGTCCAGTTCATCGTCGTTTTCAGGGAGTGTAATTGTCTTGCCAATAACTACATCATCACCGGATACACGGATTCCTGGGGCTATAATACCATCGTCATCCAGCTTGTCGTAGTGAGCATTCCTCATTCCCTGGCATGTGCCGCGATGAGGCTTCTCGAAGTTCTCCTCCTGGTCGCCCACACGCTTGTTCTCCGAGTCCTTGTATGACCGGTAGAACACCGAGCGGAAAAATCCACGCTCCACAGCAGAGGCATTCAGAATGACAGAATCCTCCTGGTTGTAGCCCGTGTAGCAGAGAATGGCCACGATTGAGTTGATGCCAGCTGGTAGTTCTCGGAAACGCAGGTACTCCATGGAACGAGTGGTCACCAGGGGCTTCATCGGATAGTACAAAACGTGAGCCAGCGTGTCCATACGCACGTGGAAGTTCGTGATGTAGACGCCCATAGCTTGTTTACCTTTGTAAATTATCAGATAAATTAGAATATTATTTTGTATATTATTTTATTATAAACTCACCCATAGCGCTTTGATAGGTGTTACGCGGACTCTGGTTGTGATCAGGGAAGGGAATAATGGAGGCGCACACGCCCAGGATCATGGCCGGATGAATTTCGCAATGCGTGTACGTGGTACAATAGGCATAATCCTTGTCCTGCTTCAGATCGTACGGAGACATGGCAATCATGACGGTTTCCTCCTCCAGGGTGTCAATGTATTCCACCACTCCGGAGGCCACCAAGACCTGCCAACTGTAGTTATTGTAGTCACGCTCCTTCAACATCTCCACATGGGTCTTCTTCAGCAGCAGCGATCCGTTTTCAACGATGAGGAGAGGCCTACAAATGCGACCAGCATCTGTGTAGATTCGGATCTCACGATCTCGAATGTCTCGGATCATGGACACTTCCGACACGATGATGTCCATCTGGCGACGCAGTTTGCGAAGCGTGGCCATCAGCTGCTCAGGATCACGATGGATACCCACCCAGCAGCCATTCACAAAGATCTTGGTGGCATCAGCGATGGCAGAGGGTGCGATCTCCTCCAGATTCTCCATGGACCACTCCTCCAAGAACTCCAGAATGGGCGAAGGTTGTGATCCGACAGATATGTAGGCCATTAGAGCGAGGTTCTTCACTAGACCGACAGCAGCTCCCTCGGGAGTTTCAGCGGGACACAGCATGCCCCACAGGGTATTGTGCAGCTGACGCGGTTTCGCCAGTTTACCATCCCTTCCGATAGGCGAGTTAACACGCCGCAAATGGGAGAGAGTAGAGGCGAAGGTTAAGCGATTCAACACCTGGGAGACACCGGCTCTAGCCTGATGGGCTTTCTTCTGGTCGCCCCAGTTTCCAGTGGCCAGGGAATACCGCAGACCATCTGTAATAATGTTTGTCTTGATGGCCAACTCCAGATTGAAGTCCTTTCCGCGATCGATGAACTTCTGTGTGTACATGCGCACCTCCTTCATCAGATTTTTGAATAATCCTCGGAAGAGGAAGGCCAGCAATGGTCCAGCAAGGTCCAATCGCTTGTTTCCATAATGATCTCGGTCATCGAGTTCTCTTCTGCCCAAGGAGGCCAGCAACAGGCGGTGCACCATGTAGCCCAGGAAATACGCCTTCTTCGTCTCGCAGAAATCGGAGACTCCCACATGGGGCAACATTTCCTTTTGCAGGATTTCCTTGGCATACTTAATACGCTTGTCTTTTGTGACTCCAGGACGGGCACCTCTTGCACCAATGAAGTTCAAGGCAACATTCTGCTCCTGCACCACGAAGGCTTCATCCAGAGATGGCTTCACCATTTCCATCATCTCGGGATCATCGAAGTCGTAGATGATGTGCTCCAGGATATCACGATCGGCCACGAAGCCCAATGCTCGGAACACAATCATGATGGGTATCTCTTGTTTGATGTAAGGTAAGATGGCAATTATCCTTTGTCCAATAGCTGACTTTTTGATGTTCTGGGATCCCCTGGCCATCATGTTTACCCACAGTGTTGATGTGGGTCGAGAGCTGTGCTCCAAGCACGAACGGATTTCAGTCTTAAATGCATATTTTCCGTCCTTCATGCTGAAAACATACACTGTGTTGGTGGCCATCTTTTCCTGGGCAATTAGCACTTTCTCCGACCCGTTGATGATAAAGTAGCCACCGGGATCCAGCGGGCACTCGTTCAGCTCCGTAAGATCACGATCCGTGAGCTGGGAGAGCAGGCAGTAGGTGGACCGCAGCATGATGGGGATCTTGCCAATGAAGGTTTTCTGGTGCTGCGTTTCCACGGGATCCAGGCCCTCCACATTCTTGGTTTTCGTGATGTCCACGTAGAGGGGAGCGGAATAGGTAAGATTTCGCAGGCGGGCCTCGTTAGGCATCATAGGACTAGGTGAACCGTCCTTCTCCCAATGCGTTGGCTTGGATAGGTAGATTTGTTCGAATTTCAGGGAGAATCTCGGGGGTGTTTCCACCTCACCGGACGTGTGCTGAGCCTCCGCCTGAAGCTCGATAGCCGGTGAGTCCTCCACGATGCGCTGCACTGACATCTGGATGAACTCATCGAAACTGTCCAATTGCTGCCGCACCAAACCCTTTTCGTCGAAGTAGGCGTTTATCACGATCCAGCAAGCCTCCTGCCACAGCTCGTGGGAGATCTCCTCGGCATTCTCTTCCTCGTACAGCTCTGCAAGAAGTTACTTTGCAATAAGAATCCAAAAGAATCAAGTAAATCGGAGCCCTAGCACTCCAGCCGCCATGTTCGTTTTTCTTCATGCCAACGTGCATAGGCACTTTTAGCAAAATCATTTTACTCACCCTCATCGTTGTCGTACATCATGATGTTGATTTTCTAAAGTGCAAGAGCACTTTATGCGTCTTAATAAAAAAACAATTATTTGTTTTAGCAATGAATTTACTGGTAAAATCTTATAAAAATTTCACAACAAATGTTTCGCCGACAACGCGTTTGGCGGCGTTGTTGTTGTGCAGTGTTGGTAAACGTTGAATTCTAATCACTAGGTGGTTTTGGTAATTATAACAAAAACAAATTTTTACAACAATATTTTTGGGAGCCAAATAAAATTTTGTAAAATAAAAATAAATGATTACTAACATACAAATAATCACCTTGAGTCGTTAATAAAAACAATATATTTATAGCAAAACAAATCCAATTGGAACAAATAAAAGTACATTAGACAACACTAAATACAACCACAGTTTCCAACACTTGCACAGCCGGTAAACAGCTGATTTTGTTGTTTTCATTTATCCTCGTTATTTAACCCGCCTATAAAATGAGTTTCTTGTGGAAAGGACGACGGTTTTTGATTGCCGGCATTCTGCCAGTCCTAGAACGCGGCGCAGATGACATAGTGGATAAGGAAAACAAGACCTACAAGGCATTCCTAGCCAGTAAACCACCAGAGGAAACAGGAATGGAGCGCCTTAAACATATGTTTACAATCGAGTAAGAAATCTTTAAATTTTTCAATTACAACGAAACTAATGACGAACTTTTGCATTTAATTAGCGAGTTCGGTAGTATATCCTCTGAACTGAATTCAATTTATCAGGCCGGCTTCCTGGGATTCCTCATTGGAGCGATTTACGGTGGAGTTACACAATCGCGCGTGGGCTACATGAATTTCATGGAGAACAACCAGGCCACAGCTTTCAAATCGCACTTTGATGCCAAGGTGGGAGCAATCATTTTAATTTAAGTATATAATTTACCAATCTTTAATTTCGTATTACAGAAAAAGCTTCAGGACCAATTTACTGTTAACTTTGCCAAAGGCGGCTTTAAATGGGGTTGGCGAGTGGGACTTTTCACCACTTCCTACTTGTAAGTTTGTCATTCCCAAGTCCGAAAAGCGTTATTTATAATTAATTATATTTCCTATCTATTTTATCACACAGTGGCATCATTACGTGCATGTCGGTGTACCGTGGAAAATCATCTATCTACGAGTACTTGGCCGCTGGATCCGTCACCGGCTCCCTTTACAAAGTAAATCTGGGACTACGGGGTATGGCAGCAGGCGGGATCATTGGTGGCTTCTTGGGCGGAGTCGCTGGAGTCACCTCCCTGCTGCTGATGAAGGCATCCGGCACTTCGATGGAGGAAGTGCGCTACTGGCAGTACAAGTGGCGACTGGATCGCGACGAAAACATTCAGCTGGCGTTCAAAAAACTGACGGAGGATGAAACCCCTGAGTTGTTTAAGGCCCATGATGAAAAGAAATCCTCTGAGGTATCCCTCGACTCGGTCAAGTGAGTTTCGAGTATATTAAGTAGACGCCAGTGTAAACTTAGTTGAGTTTTTTAATTTAAATAAATTGCAAATATGTCCATCTAAAGTTACATAGACAAGAATACATTTAAGGAAGCCCAGATTGGCTACTGCTATGCGATGTTTCAGTTGATGCCTAGTGCCTCTAAAGATATCGATTGGCGTACGGACACATATAAATACAGGACGACAGATAGACACAACACGGAAGAGATGCGGATGAACACGGACTCGTTTGGATACAATAAATTAAATGCTCTGCCAGGAACAAGAGGTTGAGGTGGATATATAGAATTGACTCGATGGGATCGGGATTCAGACTTAGTCCTCGTCGGTGGGACGCGTGAGACGCTTAGCGCCGCGATTTGGTGGCCCCTTGGGCTTGGCAAAAGCCGGTCGGTGCAGGATCTTCTTCGGGTGCAGCTCATCCTGCAGGAAGGCTTCGGTCAACTCGCTGCCGCTGTCGATTTCCAACTGGGGGATAAAACAAAGTAATTATTATTCATATTAACGAAACCAATTCAAAATAATTGTAGGGATTTCCAATTTTAAGAAATTATAAGTTTAGCTGACTGCGAACTAATTCGTAATTGGTGATTTCCGCCCAATAAATCTATAAATAAGCGACATATTGATGGGAAATCACCATTAGCCATAATCTTTAGTGTCATTAGTGCAGCCACACCTGCTCGTAAAGATTGATAGATCATATAAACGCACCTTCTTGACGACCTCGACGCCGAGGGCCGCCAGCTCCTCGAGGAAGGGAGCCTTGCAGCTGGAGTACATCATGCGCTCGCGCACGGAGCAGGAATATCCTGGCATGGAGTAGACGAACACGTACGACTCGAGGTAGTCGCCCTCGTGCGTGTGCCTGAACAGAAAGAGGTGGTAGCGGGCATGATCCTCGGGCACCTGTTTCGGGAGATCGGCAAGTTCCACTTTGGCCGCATGCGAGACGTGGATTTGCTCCTCCTCCAGATCGATGCGGAACTGCAGGTAGTCGTGATTTCCGCGCACCAGATCCTGGATGGCGGCCACAGTCTGCTCGCTCAGGGGGCAGTTGATCCCGCCCAGAGTTTGATGCCTTGTATTCGTGTTAATCTCTGTGTGGACCTCGGTTTTCCGCAGTTCCTTCAGCTCTTCTTCCCTGGTGGTCAAGGGAGCGGGAGCAGCAAATTCCTGCTTGTGCCGGCGATATCCTTCCAACGTGGACTCATCCAAAGTGGTGGCATGCAGCTCCTCGGTTATGTAGGCGGATCCGAACTCCGTTTTCAACGTGGCCTTTGTGGAGGCGTAGACCATCTTCTGTCGAATGCTGGCCGTGTCCGGCGTCCAGCTGATGAGGAGCCAACTGTAGCCGAGGGGGATCTTGGTGTCCAGGCGGTAGAGAATATAGCAGGGCACATCCTTCTCCAGGAGAGGTCCTATCAACTTATCGTAGTCGCGCTCCCAGTCCTTTTTCGACTCCGCCGTGGCACCACAACTCAGCTGCTCTGTAAATAGGGCGGGGTGAAACCGGAAGCCTCGTTATCAAATCTCGTACTTAGTATATATCGTGTGTATATACGTTTCTGGAGAAAATCCACTCACCATTCTCGATCGAAACTTTTATCACGCGAAATTTACCATTTTTCGCTTTTCCGAACACCTTGGCCAGCTGCTCGTTGGCTGAAATAAGGAAGGGGAATGTAAGGAACAATGTTCAAGGACTCCTTGTGATAACAAACCTCGGATACCCGTTTGGTGAGACATTTGGACAACAGCTAAAATTATTAATGTCGAAAAAATTATTACTCACAAGCAGTGGGCCCGAAGTGCACTATCAAGAAAATACTGCAAAATGGTATATACGAATTCACGTTCAACTGCTTGAAAACTGCTTTACGAATTCAGTATTCTTGCTCGAGACACACTGATTGTGGATAACTCAAACATAATCACTTATCAATATGTTTTAAAGTCTGTCATTAAGAGACACTGAATCTTAAATATTAACTATTAATTTTCCGAGGAATTGTGGAATCGTTTTGTGTTTTTAAAACAAAAACTTAAATAAAACACTAAAGCGAAAAAATACTAATGCGACAGATCTGAGTCACGTAGTGTTGGCAAACGTCGGCAGCGCTAGCACTTCGCAGCGAACAGCGTTCTTTTCTCACGGAAAATGTAAAGAAAAACTGCATTTACCTGCATTTAAAGCGAAGCAACCAGCCTGGAAAACCATCTGTAGTGCAATTGCATAGTCAATAAAGTGAGTGCACGCGAAATTGAGAAATTTAAGGCGCGCCAACGGGCAACTGGAGCAGTTGGCGTCGACGTCGGCAGAGAACCAGCCCACGCCCCAAATGTTTACGGGCGTGAAAAGTGCGGAAATGCGGGGAAACTAATTGGGTTTTACTATCCCATTCGCCTGCAGCATCAACACCCATGTTGACCGAAGCCCCCATGGCCAGCGAGAACATCATGGACGAACTAGCCTCTCTGATACGCACCGAGATCCCCGATGGCCGCCAGAGTCTGCGGGACAGCTACACCAATCTGGAGCGGGTGGCCGACTACTGTGAGGACACCTACTACCGCGCGGAAAACAAGAAGGCGGCGCTGGAGGCCACCAAGAACTATACCACCCAGTCGCTGGCCAGCGTGGCCTACCAGATCAACACGCTCGCCTACAGCTACATGCAGCTCCTCGAGCTCCAGGCCCAGCAGCTCGGCGAGATGGAGTCCCAGATGAACCATATCGCCCAGACGGTGCACATCCACAAGGAGAAGGTGGCCAGGAGGTAAGGAAACCAAACTTTGTGGAAATGCCAGTTAAATATCATAAGGGATTGGGAGCTTTATGTGAATGCAGATTTTTATGGGGCAGTCATATATTACAAGGTTTCTAATCTTTACTTAAAGGTGGCCAGTAAGACTTTGTGACATTCTCAATTCGTTTAAGCACGAGTCATCAGTAATAAAAGCATTTCATTGTTTGTATAATTCGTTGTCCCATGAGGTCATGTAGCTGATATCAACTATTTCCTCTTATTTTCATATAATTATAAAAGATAAAAATTACAAGCTGAAATATAAATTTTAAAAAAGTTATACATATTTTAAATATTACAATGATTTTTAGAGAGACTATTGACAACATTATTTAACACAATGAGGGCGATTTTCTATTTAAAGATATTCTTTCTTATCTTAAAAGTATTGCAACTCATTCTGTTTTTCACCCCCTAGGGAGATCGGCGTGCTGACTGCCAACAAGGTTAGCTCGCGCCAGTTCAAAATCGTGGCACCCATCAATCCGGAGAAGCCTATTAAGTACGTGCGCAAGCCCATCGATTACTCGATGCTGGACGAGATTGGCCACGGCATCAACTCGGCCTCTCACTCGCAGGTGCGCCAGAAGCACCGAGGCTCCAGCCACGGATCCGTGCAATCCCTGTTGCCCCCGTCGGTAGGTCCTCCGCCGACCACAAAGCCCCCGACTCCGCCGCAGATGTCGCGAGCTGGGAACACCGGCACCCTAGGCAAGTCGGTTAGCAATACCGGAACGCTGGGCAAGAGTTCTCGGGAGTATCGCACTCCGCCGGTGGTCAATCCGCCGCAGGTGCCCTCGCACTACGCACCTAATTATCCAATTGGTCATCCGAAGCGCATGTCGACGGCTTCATCCACAATGACCACCACCACTACTGGCGGTGGAGCGGCGGGCAATGAGCGCGCTGCTGGCTACAGTGCACTTCCGATGCCGCCCAGCCAGCAGATAGCCACCCATGTGAACCTGCCCAACGCGGGCATGATGCAATCGCTGCCACCGCCGCCACCCACTACGTATGACGATCGGAGCAGCATGCCACGTTAGTTAAATTTAATTAAACCACAATTAGTGGCTAATTATCCTTTTTTAATCCTTAGCAGCTCCCCCTTCGCCGCTGACAGTATCGCAGCACGAAATGACCGAACAGAGTCACATTGGCATGCACACCCTAGGGCGCAATATCAACAGGTAAGTCTGGTCTTCACAGAAGCATCACTTTTTTGTGTATATGTAATTTTTTTCACGTTCTCTATGCAAACCCAGGAATCCAAATCGGTAAATTGCATGTTTCTGTCTTAGTTAAAGGGTTATAAACAGTTAAAATTTTCGAAAAATTTAAATTGTGATTGTCTGGCCTTTTTAACAAATACAAATCATTTAACTGCTTATAAACCCATAAAATTCTCAACTATTTCACTATCTTAACCAAGTCTTTTCCCAAAGAAACCATTTCAGCTTGAACTTTGCACGTCCCGGCTCCCAGTCGCCGCCTTTGCCACCTCCGCCGCCGCCGGAGGATGAGCACCAGGACTTTGGACGACCACGCACCTCAACGGGACCGCAGCTGGCGCCCATAGTGCCCGAGGATCAGAACTTGCCCGGCTGGGTGCCAAAGAACTTTATTGAGAAAGGTAAGGTTAAAATGCCCTCCCAATACAAGTTAGATAGCTTGTTAATTTCCCATAATTACCTTTCAGTGGTAGCCATATACGACTACTATGCCGACAAAGACGACGAGCTAAGCTTCCAGGAGAGCTCGGTGCTGTACGTGCTCAAGAAGAACGACGACGGCTGGTGGGAGGGCGTCATGGATGGGGTGACCGGCCTGTTTCCGGGCAATTACGTAGAGCCCTGTGTCTAAGCCTCGCCTCGATATTCTAAACATGCCAACCATTACAATAATCTGCATTATCTGGCCTGTTCTGGTCCTCTGCTGATCCCCGAGAACCCCCAAGATATCCCTTGGACATCGAGGCATTTTGAGGACAACTGAGAACCGAGACAGGCTCGGTTGACAATGACGATAAAATTTTGAGCATATTGATAAGGACAATTATACAATTACACAACTACACAAGCACAGCAGGCCAGAGAAAGCGAAGATAATTCCATTAGCATCAGCCAATTGCATTTAGTCTAATATAAACGAGCACACACACAAGATCCAGGGGCTAAGGATAACGCTTGCTGCCCAACTAAACCTATTTACACTCTATTAGCCGAAAACGAAGCAACAGGGGGAGAGGCGAATGCGGAAACCCGTAAATAACTTATGCGATATTCTAAAATTGTTCCACAGACGTAGACGAATTCAGTCCTGCCCCTGCCACCAGCCCAATTACTTTAAATATTTGCTCGCAGTTTTGTCAAGCGATTTCTGTTTGCCTTGCGCTTGGATATTCCCGGCTATTATTCACCTATACTACCCATACCTACCTTACTCCCCCAGCAATAATGTAGGTTATATAAATTTCAGTTAGCATTTAATACTTAAGTATTGGCCAGTTGGAACTTTTGTTTGCACTTTTACGAACCGCAACGATAACATTTTTTTGCGAACGTTTAGTTAAAATGGAATTGCCAGCAACGGAATCAAATTAAATTTACACAATACAATTACACACACGCTCTATATGGTAAAAATAATAGCTAATAAAAATTTCAATTACTAAACCACAAGTCCTTGTTCTATGACCGTGTAATTTGCGTTGACCTTCTCGTGAGCCAAGCCGGATGCCAATAAAAATCCGTAATTGGGGCAAGGCTCCGGCGGCCTGCCAAATTCAAATTCGAAATCTTGAATGCAAATTTCCATGCATGTGATGGATGGCTTGGAATATTTACAAATGCCAACACTCTTATAGGGGTCGTTCAGTCAGTCAGTCAATCAATCAATCCATTAAATTCGACACGCTGCTCCACAAACCGATTTCAATTCAACGCCTGGTCCTGAAAAACTTTTCCATAACGCTGCTCCAGGTAAATTAATGCTTTCTTGGTGATATGTGAAGGATTCATTTTTCATTTGCTGAATTTATTATCAGGCTTCAAGGAGTTGACGTGGAGGAAATGCCAAAAAAGTGGAGTGCTGCATGATTTGCATAAAATGTGCTAAATCGTTGCCGACTTTTTGGGGCCCTCTGCTATGGAAATACCTTTATTTGCGGACAATTATTAAAGTGGACCTCAACAACTTGGATACGGAATCTTTGGCAGCAAGTTTCGGCCAACTATTTAACCCACAACTGGCCAGTGGCAGCTGAAACTCGCCAGAAATGTATGCAAAATGGCGCATTAGCATTTCAACAATGCCGTAGGAAAAACGCGGCAACAACAAAAATGGATTGTGCCGTGCCAGGAGTCAGCCCCACTTGCCCACCACCCACATCTCCGGCCCATTCCACCCCCTGGACATGCCTATAATTTCGTTATTTTCTGACCAGGCCGAGTCGGACCCTTCAGTTGAGTTTGGTACGTCGACGCGAATGGTTCTACAAACCGCTTTTATTTCGAATAGTTCTCTTAGCTCTTGGCGCCCCAGTGTTTCCGGTTTTTTGGCTTTAACATTTTTTTCGGCTAGTGGCGTGTCCGGAAAGTTTTCCAAGCGGATAAAGTGCAAAACAAAACTATTTGTAAGTGAGCCGCGCTGCAGAGGTGCTTGAAAAGTTTTTATCAAATGTTTGTTTTACATAATCGAAATAATGCCGAGATTGGGGTGGCTTCTCTCTGCGGGAACCGCATTTAATTGACCTACTTGGTGCCGGATTTACTTGCTGGCCAAGTGTAAAATATTACATTATTTCATGTCAGGATTGAGGCCACTGGCCACTTTGTTTATGGCGAAAACAATTCGCGTCGTCAATGCGGACAAGTTGGCCCACTTGGTGTCGAAATTCCCAGTGTTTCGTGGCACGCACAACTTTCTCGAAAAGCGTTAATTGGAGAACCCTGTGAAGGTTAAAAGTTTTGCACTTGCATCGTAGTCCACCTCCAAAATGA